CCAGTTCGTGATTTAAGAAAATGTAATACTCCTTTAAGACATTGGAGTAATGTTGTTTGGCCAATTAAACTTAGAACAAATAGAGTAAACAGAGAGGTCAGCCTAAACAGCAGGCACAAAGGACCTGTCTTTTTTCAAGGGATACTTTCACCGCATGAATATTAATATCCTGACGAAAATGTGAAAAATAACACTTCCCGAATTCTAAGCTGTATACAGTAGATCCAAAACATCATTATATGCAATCAAGGAAATGTGTATCAATTAAAATCATCCTCTCACCAGAATTGGATCACACAAGTGTTAACAGAATTAGTTAATCAATGCCTAATGTAGCAGAGAGGTAAATGTCAAAGTCGTCAGAGATTTTTTTATCTGACATAAGATTTATGCTGGTTTTTTCCTCCCAACACACTTATACAAATAAAGATGTCTACTTAACTCAATCATCCATCATTTTCACTGCGCAGTATATTTCTCGATCGTTCCGTTTATATCCACATCTTAATATCTTCAATGCTCATTGTAAAATGATTGATAAGCCATAGAAAGTTCATATGAATTCATCACTCACTGTTAGGACTCGGCTGCTAATCAAGACGTTCAGATTTTTTGACCACTACAAACAACCATAAGACAGTCGTCATGGCAACAACTCGAATAATATAAGTCCCAATAATAGAATGAACATCCCATAATATGTTTTATAGTGATGCCACATGGAGGCTACAGTTTCTGTTTGTAGAAGTGACATTCTGGTTTTGTAATTATCCATGTATCATCATATATATTTTTTTCTTAATAATTTTCAATAAATGGTAACATTCATTTTATTTTGCATAACTTTGCCATCAATCTGACTTTTTATTTTACTTGTCTGTGTTATTTGAAACAGGAGTGCTGAAGAGATACAGAATATTTCAGCTAAAATTGCACTCCCATTATCCCTAGCATCATTGATGTTTTCCTTCACAGACAAAACAGCAGATAACACAGTTTATTACATTTTTGGTATACTGTATCTAGTACCAAATTTTATAAGATGCAATCAAGGAGACCAAATTTCTCAACATTTCACATGACCTCATAACGAGTTCCCATAAACAGTGTCTATAGTAACAATTTTCAAAACAAAAAGTTCTCCATAGCAAGTCTTAATAACAAGTTGCCATGACAACAGTCTCCATGACAACACTTCTTAACAAGTTTAAGATACATGTGTAATTATAAACAGAATTAAAATGTACGCTTTATTTGTACAAATGACATGGAACTGGCAGCAGAACTAGACAGCCTCACTCTAGAGAATTGAGGCAGATTGTAAAATTTATCACAGCATAGCCAACAAATAAATATCAATTCATAATACATGTTTTTTAAGATAATTTTACTGACCACATCCTACCAGGTTGTAGATATGCTTGTCGTGTGATAGGGGGGCATATGTGCTTCTGGTAAACAGCGATAATCTGACAGCAGTTAAAACAAAATACATTAACACTGATGTGTGGTTTCAGACGAGCAGGTACTACTAGTCAATAGAGATCCCTTTTATGAAGGATGAGAAATTTCAGCGATTTCCATGAAAATTTACACTGCGATGAATTCGGCTTACTATCAAAAAATTATATATTCCCCCCCCCCTCCCCCATTCAATTTACCACATGACCACAAAATAATGTGACTTTAGTTTGGAAATTTGTATCCTGAAAACGACATATTAAGTAGCACTTAAGAACTTGAACTTTTTGAATCTCAAAACTTAAACTCACATCATAAAATACTCATTAAACAGTACTACAACCTTTTTTTCTCTCTCTAGTACTTGATAATTCTCACCAATAAATCCCAAACTATTTCCTGTTAAAACATTAACCAAGTACCTGTTTACATAACAATTAATTAGCACTTTCACCCTATGACACCTAATGATACAACTGGAACGCTCCAAATCAAAGAATAGCATAGGCCATTGTCAAAATACTGGGAAGAATTAGCTAGTAAAACTGTACCTAGCACTAGTTAAATACACATTAAATTAGCACAATTAGCACTCAAAACTTTAACTAGTTCCTGTTAAATTATCATTAATCATAATTAGCACTCAAATCTGTAACATTAAATTATATCCTGTTAAATTGTCATTAATTTGCTATAAAAAATGTAACTATTAAATAAAAATCGCAAATCACAGTTCAGGAAGAGTTGCACCTACAAGAATTCTGGAGCAGAAATTTAAAAGTTCCAAGGGCTATATAACTCCTGGAAAAATATTGTTGAATTGCAAATTCCTTTCTCCATGCACATCTACATATGATGTACTTTCCCTGTGTCAATTAAGTTACAAAAAAATCCAATAAACTGTTGGGATGAAGTTGCGTCTCATAGATAATGGACAGACAGACGGACAGGATGATTACTATTTATACCCCCCAAACTTTGTTTGCGGGAGTTATATACACTTTACCCTCCAGGCATACAATGCATGTTGGAACAGACAGGGATAACACTATATATAAACCCTGTAACATTTTGTGTCTGGGCATAAAAATCACATTTAAAAATTATCCTTTGTCAAAAACTAGCAAAAATTCTACTTGTAGTACAGTACCATATATATAAACGAAAATAATTGTTCAGAAATATGAGGTTTGGGCAAGTATCTTTTTTTCAGTAACTGTAGTTGTAATTAGAAAAATATTTCAACTTTGATAAAAAAAAGTCAAGGATTTTAATGATAACTTTTCTTTATATTTCTAAACATTTTCTTCAGGTTGGTTAGTTGAGATTATTAAAAATTCTTTTTACACAACCAATACAATTTTATTGCTTTTGTAAAAAGAACTTTTAATAATTTTAATGACAATGTGTCAATTTTAAGTAAATATTTCATTCAGATAACTTGCATGCTATTCCTTATAAAGGCCTCAGTGACTCAATCATAATCTTTAAGTATAAATTAGTGTAATTATCATCAAATCAATTAGAATAAGTTCACTGTACATGCAATGAAGATGAAGTTAAGATAAAGTATTGCAGGTAAAGCAACAATTGGGGAACAATTCAATTAGTTCTCTATAGAGTTAAACCTTCTTATAATCTCTAGAGCGAGACTTGCTTATAACAAACCTCTAGGACTTGAGCAAGTAATTCTTTATAGAAAACAAGAACTCCACAGGAGTGGATGTGTCGCCTGCTCAGAAAAGTGTTTTGGCTTGAGTTATCATGAAACAAGCAAAAATTAACGGTAAAACAAATGATGAACAGCGTTGCTATGTCAAGTGTGATATGCCAAAACGTGGAAAGTTGAAACTTGACAGAAAAACCTGTAAAATATGTTGAACATTATTGCTTCTAGAATTACCATACAAAATTTGAAAGGAATTGATTAAAAAATAAAACAGTTCTTGCATTTACTACATTATGCCCTTACTTTGCAATAAAAGGGGCATAACTCCACCAAAAACGTATGTAATCTTCTGAAATGCAGACTCGTTCGAGCTATTTTGGTATACAATATGTGTACCAAGTGTGAGTTCAATCAACCCAAGGGAACTCAAGTTATCGCACGGAAACCTTGTTTGGGACGACGCAACCGAAGACAACGCCACTGATAAAGTAATATAGTCTCCAAAGGTGGTGCAGACCCCAAGGCCATCCTGGAAGCATATGTGCATTCTTCTCTTTATACTCAGCAATTGTATGTATGGTTAAAGGGTGGGGATCTCAACTGTTTCCAAGCTGTGACTCAGAATCTAGGTCCCTAGGGGTTCGGTCAGACCTCAGGGTCTATTTCAATATCATGACTGCATTCGTCTCTTTATGCCCAACATTTGTATGTATAGTTCTGGGGTGGGGATATAAACCTTTTCAAAGTTATTACCAATGGACTATGTCTCCAAAGGTGGGGCCAGAACCTAGAGCCATCCTGGAAGCAAATGTACATTCTTCATTTTATACTCAGCAATTGTATATATGGTTATAGTGTTGGGATCTCAACCATTTGTAATAAGCTTTTTTGGCCCCACCCCTAGCCCGGGGGTCAGCCCCACTATTTGTACAATTTTGAATCCCTGCCTCCCATGAATGCTTCCCACCAAATATGATTGATAGCTATGGCATAGTTCTACAGAAGAAGTTGTTAATAGCAATATAGCCAAATTGCCCTCTTTTGGTCCCACCTCAGTCCCCTGGGGGGTCAGCCCCACCATTTGTACAAATTTGAATTCCCACCAAATAGGGATGCTTCCAGTCAAATATGGTTGATATCCATCACTTAGTTCAAGAGAAGAAGTCGCTTAAATCAATATAGCCAAATTTTCCCTTTGTGGCCTGCCCCTCAGCCCCCTACAGGGGGTTCAGCCACACCATTTGTATAATTTTGAATCCCTGCCTCCCATGAATGCTTTTGTTCAAATATGATTGATATCCAGTGCATAGTTCTATAGAAGAAGTCGTTTGTAGCAATATAGCCAATTTGGCCCCTTTTGGGCCCGCCCCTCAGACCCCTGGGGGGTAAGCCCAACCATTTGTAAAATTTTGAAGCTCTAATTCTTAGGAATGCTTCCAGTCAAATATGGTTGATAACCATCTCTTAGTTCCAGAGAAGAAGTCTCTTAAAGCAATATAGCCAAATCTCCCCTTTTTGGCCCTTCCTCTCAAACCCCTGGGAGGCCAGCCCTACCATTTGTAAAATTTTGAATCCCCACCAACTAGGGATGCTTCCAGTCAAATATGGCTGATATCCTTCTTTCAGTTCCAGATAATTAGTCACTTAAAGCAATATAGCCAAATTGCCCCCTTTTGGCCCCACCCCTCAGCCCCCTGGGGGGTCAGCCCAACCATCTGTACAATTTTGAATACCCACCCCCTAGGAATGCTTACTGTCAAATTAAGTTAAATTCCAATCAGTGGTTAAGAGGAAGAAGTCGTTTAAAGAAATTGTTGACATACGGAAGACAGACGACAGACGACACGGTATGGCATAAGCTCACCTTGGTCCTTCGGACGCAGTGAGCTAAAAACACAATAATTATATGTTCAAGTTTAAAATTTGAATATCAAGCAGACATATACTGACTAAAAATACTTCTCATTTATAATGTAAAATATTATTGAATACCTTAATGTTATACCGTCCAAGCTGTGTGAATTTTCCACAAACCTATAAAAACACAATAATTTAATGTTCAAATTTAAAATTTGAATATCTAGCAGACATATACTGGCTTTAAAGACTTTGAAACGTCTATATAAAACTACGACTTTGCACATATTTTATCACATAATATAGTCTAGCTGGCAAGTTGAGGAGACTTCAACTTATTTTTCTCCATTTCTTCAAAAATATCTCCATCCGATTCCGGTTCAGAAGAAACGTCTTCCTCTATAAGGCACGAAGACACACTGTCATTTACTTCTGATTCTCCAGGAATCTGGGACTGTTCTGATTCTGTAGTCTGTGTCACAGAAGAGCTTGGCACTGTACTCTGTGCCACTGAAGAGCTTGACACTGTTGTCTGTGTCACTGAAGAGTTTGAATTTAGTCCCATAAGGACAGCATTTGTTTGTTTGTTGCCCTCATGATTATCCACAGCAGGGGTCAAGTCTGACATGTCTTTGACCACTGGCGATTTATCGGCAGGGGTTACTAATTTCTCTAATGGTGTCCTTGTTGCAGAATGACCAGGTGGACCTCTGAGCACCTCCTTTTCAGTACAGCTATCAAACACATCTTCATTTGTTATTTCTAAAACAGATTCATTTGTATCTAAAATACTATTCTCTTGTTTCCTTTGTATAGAGATGTTCTTGACTTGTGAACTTCCGTCCAATGCTGTTTCTTTCTTGCCCAAAACATCTTCAACCTCTGCCCTCTTCCCACAAGCACCTTCAAAACAATGATTCTCACCCACTACCCTCTTGTTACAAGCATCTGGAACACCATGATTTTCATCGTCCGCTCCATTGTAACAAGCACCTTGAGGATCTTGATTTTCACTGTCTGGGTTCATTTCACTGACTGAAAGTCGATAGATATGCAAAGGGTCACTTTTGTCCAGAGACTGGACATGTTTTAGACCTCGCAAGTCAAACTTCTTGATGGAATGCTGCTGTCGAAGAATGGTCACTGCTTTCTCGGAGGCATCTCGGACTGTTGTGGTTTTGAGGCTTGTTCGAGCATCAAATTCACGGATAGCATGATTCAAGGTATTCAGTATACTCAAATCCTTGGCCTCAAAAGCTGAGAAAAGGTCATGGATGGATACTGGAGAATCTGCTGAGAAAGAAAAGAGAAATTAACCGTTACAAAAAGTTAGCATACTTCAAAAGTCAAACAGGTTATGGAGAATTTATAACATTGAAGTCTCGTATAAAGATTAAGGCAGATATCTTCTATTGAATTGAACTATATTTATTTTACAACAGTTATAAACCAGGTTTATCAACTAATATTTATCATACTAGTGGGCCCATATGGAAGTGTACAGGGTGTCTAAATGTGGTAGAAAACAGAATTACACAGAGGAACCCCTGATGGTCCATCAGGACACTTCACACCTGATCAGCTCGGAATTGAACCCTGAACTTCTTGCTGGAAGGAGAGTGCACTATCCACTCTGTCATCTGACCTCTCCAAATGTAACTTGTTTTTTGAAAATACACATTTCCTTGTCAAAATGATTATTATATCTCTTTTGAATATATGTGTTAGTTGTAAATTTTTAGACATTATATGATAAAACAAAAAGTTTCATAGAAAATCCTTTTTGAATTTGTTTTGCACTATGTGACCCATTTAAATGTCCCCCAAACAATAGCCCCCCTGTGAAAATATCAAATTTGATTTTCATCACCGAAGAATCATTTCATTTTATAATTTAGTCCAAATCCACGGGTAACTAATTACACAGGAAAATATCAAATTTGATTTTCATCACCAAAGAATTATTTCATTGAAAAATTTGGTCTAAATCCACGGGTAACTAATTACACAGGAATTGCTGTGCGAGGGCTTTACAATAAATGGCTCTCCATGAACCTCCTAAAGATTCAATGAGCAAGTCCTTAAAGTGAAAATGTTATCCTTATCAAAGTATGATTTTAATGAATGTTAACGCAAATCAAACAGTAAATTTCAATTCAAAGGAGATGTTATGCTTTAGAACCAAAATGGCTCCCTCGGCACCTGATGGGGTGGGTACTTTCTTTAGTATGCATATCTGACTCATCATCTAATGGAATACTGGTGAAAATCAACCGTAACCTTTCAGAGATGTCCTTTGAAACTTTTGCACTCTGTAATCCCTTACGCGTCCCTGTCCCTCAACCCCCTGGAGGTCAGTCCCTTCTTGAGTATACATTCAGATTCCCACCACAGGCTGACAATTACCACCTAGCTTTACCAAAATCTGATTGACGGTTTTTGAGAGGTCGAAAATATGATTATTTATGGACAACAAGGCAATCACAACAGATCACCTGAGCAACTAAATTACCTAAAAGCTAATTAATTAAATGATGATATTGAAAGGTACGCTAGGATTGATGCCATATTTGAAATGATCGTTAATAAACTGTAGTAACAATTCATTGTAGATATTTTAAAGTTTCTCATAGTGAAATTCTTTTGAAAAGGAGGTACAAAGGCTGCGTGACAGTAAGGTAGCATATGTCCTTAACAGATTTAGAATGTGTTTATTTCTACCAATATTATATTTTGACACACCTGACTTACTCTGTATCTGCAAGCCTGACTGGTCCTCCTTCACAGGCGATTGTTTGGGTATACACTTGGCTAGTATGGCCTGAATTTCTGGATTCTGGAAGTAGACAATGTTAGTGGGTTTCAGTTACAAGTAGTTATTCTAGATACTTTTTTGACTTTTATCATTATTAAGTAAAACCTCCATATAATGCCCTTTGTCACAATACAGTAAAACCTCATTGCAATGCCCTTTGTCAGTAGACAGTAAAACCTCCATATAATGCCCTTTGTCAGTTTACAGTAAAACATCCATATAATACCCTTTGTCAGTAGACAGTAAAACCTCCATATAATGTCCTTTGTCACTATACAGTAAAACCTCTATATAATACCCTTTGTCACTATACAGTAAAACCTCATTAAAATACCCTTTGTTAGTAGACAGTAAAACCTCCATATGTCCTTTGTCACGATACAGTAAAACCTCCATAAAATGTCCCTTGTCAGTACACAGTAAAACCTCCATATAAGGTCCTTTGTCACGATACAGTAAAACCTCCATAAAATTGTCCTTTGTCAGTACACAGTAAAACCTCAATATAATGTCCTTGTCACTATACAGTAAAACATCCATAAAATGTCCTTTGTCAGTATACAGTAACACCTCCATATAATGCCCTTTGTCAGTATACAGTAAAACCTCCATATAATGTCCTTTGTCAGTAAACAGTAAAACCTCCATATACTGGCATTTGTCAGTATACAGTAAAACCTCCATATAATGTCATTTGTCAGTATACAGTAAAACCTCCATATGATGTCCTTTGTCACTATACAGTAAAACATCCATAAAATGTCTTTTGTCAGTACACAGTAAAACTTCATTAAAATGTCCTTTGTCAGTATACAGTAAAACCTCAATAAAATTGTCCTGTGTCAGTACACAGTAAAACCTCAATATAATGTCCTTGTCAGTAAACAGTAAAAATTCCATATACTGTCATTTGTCAGTATACAGTAAAACCTCCATATAATGTCCTTTGTCACTATACAGTAAAACATCCATAAAATGTCTTTTGTCAGTACACAGTAAAACTTCATTAAAATGTCCTTTGTCAGTATACAGTAAAACCTTAATAAAATTGTCCTTTGTCAGTACACAGTAAAATCTCAATATAATGTCCTTGTCAGTAAACAGTAAAAATTCCATATACTGTCATTTGTCAGTATACAGTAAAACCTCCATATAATGTCCTTTGTCACTATACAGTAAAACATCCATAAAATGTCTTTTGTCAGCACACAGTAAAACTTCATTAAAATGTCCTTTGTCAGTATACAGTAAAACCTCCATAAAATTGTCCTTTGTCAGTACACAGTAAAACCTCATTATAATGTCCTTGTCACTATACAGTAAAACATCCATAAAATGTCCTTTGTCAGTATACAGTAACACCTCCATATAATGCCCTTTGTCAGTATACAGTTAAACCTCCATATAATGTCCTTTGTCAGTAAACAGTAAAACCTCCATATACTGGCATTTGTCAGTATACAGTAAAACCTCCATATAATGTCCTTTGTCAGTAAACAGTAAAAATTCCATATACTGTCATTTGTCAGTATACAGTAAAACCTCCATATAATGTCCTTTGTCACTATACAGTAAAACATCCATAAAATGTCCTTTGTCAGTATACAGTAAAACTTCATCAAAATGTCCTTTGTCAGTATACAGTAAAACCTCATTAAAATGCCCTTTATCAGTATACAGTAACACCTCCATATAATGCCCTATACAGCAAAACTTCTATAAATAAAGCTAATTTTGTTTATCACTTTAACGTTAATTATGTCTGCTATTTTCTTCAATATGTTACAATATGTAACAAGTCCCTGACTAATAAAGTGATTGCAAATATATATATTAAACGCCAAAATTTTGCATGACAGTAAATGGCAGTAAAACAAGGTTTTAGAATGGAGTCTATAAAACTGCACCAATCCCTAAGGTTAGAAATGGGCAGTAAAATTTAGTCCCAGGTTACTATGTAACGTATGACATTCAAGTATATATTTTTTCTATTTTTCCTTAAACTTCTCCATCATGAGCTTTATAGAATGTATCTGTCTACTGAAATATCTTCATTCCGAATAGACAAGTCTATTGGAATCTTATCATACTTTTTTTCAGCTTCAATTTAATATTGAGATGACAATGTCTGTATTGAAATACCATAACACCTTCAGTTAAAGTCTGTTTAAACAGGTTCAGAATTATACAGGATTTGTTGAGAATGGTGACACCATACATCTGTTGTTGCTGCCAAAGACAAGTTAATCCAATGCAATGAATGTCCAATGAAATATTTCTATCACAATTGACCGTCGATAAAACACCAATTTAGATGTGCCGATTCCACATTGGTCATAGATGACTGCATGTGTGACCTTCATGATCACCTTCGTGAATAATGTCCGCAACAGACGGACAAAACCAGCCACACGCAAAAAAGTAAAGCATGCAGGTCAGATTGGTTTCGCCGATATATAGGAGAATGGGGACACTGTCTCCTTGGTCTTATCTATAATGAGTGCTAACAAAACCACGTAATTGTTCCCACGACAATAGCACGCTGTCCTGTCCAGACCGTGGCCCAGTCAACAAATAAGATTAAAATACTGAACCGTGTCAACTTGCGCTCATGTGTGACCTTACTTTACTGAGATTGTCCGACACCAAATCAATGCCCCTTCAGCTTCCTGTTGTACAAGCTTGATTTTTTTTTATTTGGTATTCTAAATAATCAAATAGAAAATTGAATCTAAAACAAAAATGCCATATCAAAAATAAACTTCCTGAGGTACAGCTTTTTTTCCTTCCGTCAAAATCATATTTTGCATTACTTAAAGTTGTTTTTTTTTAAAGATTTTTCTTTTTCCCATTCAAAAGTATACATGAATTACTTTAAGTAATTCAAAATATAATTTTGAGATGAAAAAGAATGCCTGCAATTTTTTTTTTAAATCAGTCTTTTATGTAATCTTTTAGTAAAGCCATTCATTTCATGAGCGTAACGTTGACCAAGGTTTTTTTTACAGCAGAGAAGGGAATGGCCTACGACACACAGGTCTAAAGCTCCATCGTTAAATATAATTTACTGACCTCCATTATATTAGTGGGACTTGCACAGCCCATAAAGCCCTCTAATACAACAATTTAGGTTGAGCGAGAATCAGTGTAAAACCATGCCCAGGAGGATTGTTAAAGTGACGAAACATTAAGGTTGAACAGACGCTATCTCTTACCCATCCTTTCTCTGTTTATTTCATGATTTGTTTTCCCATCGTAAAATCTGCTCGTTTTTTTTTTAATTGAAAAGGGTTAAATCCATTTAAGTCTTAATGTCTAAATGGAGTGGCAAAATGGTCATGCAACTTACTGAAAGTTAATTGGCAGCTCCAGATTTCCATATGGAACTGATAATGGATTTTTTTTTATTGTTCATGTAACATGTTTCAAAAATTTAGGGTTTTCCAATTTAGTTTTATGCTAAAAGCCAGGCAGGCTTTAACAGTTTTCTTTCCATTTTGAACCATCAATCTACAAAAACTCTCAAAGAGACATTAAAATAAACAACATCAGCATAACAATGAATTACTAAAATCCATCCAGGTTTTCCATTCCCATGATAAATTTAATGGAATCTAATGTCGATATTACATATGATTACAAAGATGTATTGAAATCTTAGCGACCTCATCTCCTGCCTGGTCAAATCGCAATCTCATCTACAGTGAAACCTGGCCTTTCTAGACCATTGGTGTTGTGTGTGTAAACATTGGAACCTTGCTAGTAAGGACATCAGTGTTTGTACAGTGTAACCCTCTGGATAATGGTCCTTTTTTGTGTGTACAGTCTGGAACCTTGCTAGTAAGGACAGTGTTTGTGTGTACAGTCTGAACCTTGCTAGTAAGGACAGTGTTTGTGTGTACAGTCTGAACCTTGCTAGTAAGGACAATATTTGTGTGTACAGTCTGAACCTTGCTAGTAAGGACAATATTTGTGTGTACAGTCTGAACCTTGCTAGTAAGGACAGTGTTTGTGTGTACAGTCTGAACCTTGATGGTAAGGACAATGTTTGTGTGTACAGTCTGGAAACTTGCTAGTAAGGACAGTGTTTGTGTGTACAATCTGAACCTTGCTAGTAAGGACAGTGTTTGTGTGTACAATCTGAACCTTGCTTGTAAGAACAGTGTTTGTGTGTACAGTCTGAACCTTGCTGGTAAGCACAATGTTTGTGTGTACAGTCTGGAACCTTGCTAGGAAGGACAGTGTTTGTGTGTACAGTCTGGAACCTTGCTGGTAAGGACAATGTTTGTGTGTACAGTCTGAACCTTACTAGTAAGGAAAATGTTTGTGTGTACAGTCTGAACCTTGCTAGTAAGGACAATATTTGTGTGTACAGTCTGAACCTTGCTAGTAAGGACAGTGTTTGTGTGTACAATCTGAACCTTGCTAGTAAGGACAGTGTTTGTGTGTACAATCTGAACCTTGCTTGTAAGAACAGTGTTTGTGTGTACAGTCTGAACCTTGCTGGTAAGCACAATGTTTGTGTGTACAGTCTGGAACCTTGCTAGTAAGGAAAGTTTTTGTGTGTACAGTCTGGAACCTTGCTAGTAAGGAAAGTTTTTGTGTGTACAGTCTGGAACCTTGCTAGTAAGGAAAGTTTTTGTGTGTACAGTCTGGAACCTTGCTAGTAAGGAAAGTTTTTGTGTGTACAGTCTGGAACCTTGCTAGTAAGGACAGGGTTTGTGTACAGTCTGGAACCTTGCTATTAAGGACAGTGTTTGTGTGTACAGTCTGGAACCTTGCTGGTAAGGACAATGTTTGTGTGTACAGTCTGGAACCTTGCTAGTAAGGACAGTGTTTGTGTGTACAGTCTGAACCTTGCTTGTAAGGACAATGTTTGTGTGTACAGTCTGGAACCTTGCTAGTAAGGACAGTGTTTGTGTGTACAGTCTGAACCTTGCTGGGAAGGACAATGTTTGTGTGTACAGTCTGAACCTTGCTGGTAAGCACAATGTTTGTGTGTACAGTCTGGAACCTTGCTA